TGACCCGACCCGACCGTTGACCGTTGACCGTTGACCGTTGACCGTTGACCGTTGACCGGTGCTATTTTGGTAAATAATTAGGTTTTGGTGCTATTCTGGTAAATAATTCGAAAAAGGGTGCTATTTGTGTAAAATGTTTGACAGTTTGTTGACCTCCTTTGACCAGAACTTTGACCGGCTTTGACCAGCTATTAGACGACCTTTGTTTTTGACCAAGAATACCTATCCTGATAGTTTTCGACGTTCCAAATCCGTTTTTGGGGTCTGTTTCACCAAATTCGAACCCGGAAGTCTCCAAATCGTCAGTCAAACCCGTTGACTTTGATTTTGACTGAGAATTCGAAATTTCGGAAGGTCATACTTTATGTTTTTCGACGTCCTGAGTTTGATTCCGAAGTCCGTTTTGCCAAATTCTGACCCGAAATTCTCGAATCGAGCTTGTGAACCTAAAAAGGCTTAGTATTTAGTATTTTGATATATGGTTAAGAAATTGATTAAGTAAAATATTTTATGAAGGTACTCGTGTTTCACCTGAGCAAGGATTAGTCAGGTCCGGTGTTGTCCGTTCGTCAGATCAGTCCGAACCGCATATTACAAGAACTACCCGTAGGTTTCCGTATATTATTTAAGTAAAGATTAAGATTATTTTTTTTATTAGAATTCCAATAAGGATTTTTCCAATTCGTAGGATCTAGCGCTGCAGCAGAGCGTGATCGACAAATCCAGTAGTAGGCTTCCCTATCCGATTTCTCAGACTGTTACAGGTGTGTTTCCTAACAGTATTATATTACTGATTTAAATGATTTATCTGAATACCGAATACTTGATATCCGATTTACTGTATATTCTGATATAATTTCTGAATTAAGGTATTTCATACCGACTTCTGAGATCTGCTTATCTGATATCTGAATTATTGATTTGAATTCTGATTTTTGTATTTCTGCATATGGTTTTTAAGCATGAAATATTTGTTATGTTTTAAGTGATTAATCATTGTTTTCATTTGAATACATTCATTGTCATTTGGGTGGGTATTGTTGAAGGAAGATTATCTGCAGACTTCTCGGCTTTGTGCTCAGGGTCTAAATGGCATGTGCGGTTGGGTGTATGGTTCTGGGGAACCTACACAACTATGATGTGAACGGATGGGGGTAGTGTTCATGTTTTAAAAATAAAAATAAAAAAAAACATATTGCATAAACCGATTTAATTGAAAGATTTTATCTGTATATTTTTCTGATATACTGTATGGAGCACACTGAGCTTTTTAGCTCATTCTGTAGTTTTTACCCTTTTTCAGATAGTAGCAGACAGTAAGCTAGCAGATTTGGCATCAGTGGAAATCAACTACTTATTTTGTACGAACATATATTTCTATATGTTTTTCAGTTATGTTTGGTGACATGTATTTGCTATAATTTTGGACATATATGTATTATTAATATAATGTATTGTAAGATATAAAAAAAAAACCTCTGAATGGGATATGTGACCACTTAGGTTTGAGTCTAACTCACAGACCGGGTCTAGGGGGTTACAAAAATATAGGAAATTATAACGAGCAAAGATCCAACCACATAAGTCAATAAATTCATCAAGTTCATTTCAACAAGACGGCCCAAATTAAGGGATATGGACTAGGGATGGGCATAGGACCCGAACCCGACGGGTTCTGACCCGAACCGACCTGATCGGGTCGGGTTTTATAAAAACATTTGGGTTCGGGTTGTGTTTTTTAAGTGTGATGTTCGGGTCGGGTCGGATCGGGTTCGGGTTTAGGGTGAAAAATACCTGACCCATTTCGACCCAAAAAATATATATAATTTTACATTATATATTTAGGAATAATTACAATAATACCCCTCTATATATAATTTTTTCAATTAAGTCACTATTTTTATCGAATAAAAATAATATTTTTTTATTATTTTGGGTCGGTCGGATCGGATTTCTGAGTTATATATCCGGTCGGGTTCGGGTCGGGTGAAACCTTGTTTTGGTCAGGTCGGGTCGGGTCTCGGGTGGAGGATCCCTTGTTCTCGGGTCGGGTCGGGTGGACCAAAAACCCGATCCATGCCCATCCCTAATATGGACTCATTAAGACAAAAATATTATCTTTATGTGTATAAAGTATGCCATTATAACATAAGTATAGGTAAAAATATACGCAATGAGTCTTTTTATAGATTTCAAAATTGATAATGAAAGAATTTTCTGAAAGAGAAGTTTTCTCTCTCTAAGTTTTTATAGGTCGAATACAAGAAGTTAGGCCTATTAAATTGGTTAACTACAATAGTAGAGTCATAAAAGTAGAATCCTACTATAAATTATAATATTAAATTTCTTGTAACACCCTAAAATTGGTTTAAATTTTTTTTTAATGTCCAATGATCGAGAAATTCTTGTTCGGCATGCTATTTCGATATTTAGAATTTTTAATAATTCAATTATTTTATTTTTATATTATGAATTAAAGAATAAATGATTTGGATAAAGATTATAGGACTAAAATGTGATAAATGGAGAATTTGGTGACTTTAGTAAAAAAATGGGAACTTAGGTTCTAAAGTAAAAACAGGGGAATAGATAAATGATTAATGATTAGTTAGACCATGGAATGATTCGTTTAAATAAGAGAAAAGATTAAGGACTGGATTTGAGATTTTACCATTTTCCAAAATGGTTAATAAGCTACTAAAACGTCATTTTATGCATTTTATTTCATATTCTTATTTTGCTAAATTATGCAAATTAGATTACCTTTCTTAGAAGGTTTGCTCACCGCTGATTTAAGCTTTCCAAGGAAGTTTAGAAGAGCTGCTTTCACCATCGTCTTCAACCTTGCAAAATCACTTGAGTAGGGATGACAATGTAACTCGAAATTGATGGATTTCGATATGATCTGATCTAAATTAATAGGGTTAGTTTTTAAAAAAAAAAAATCAGGTTTGAGTGGAGGGTGAAATAACTCTGATCCGACCAATTGAGGATAATAGTGCAATTTATTCACTAAATTTATGGATAATTGCTATAATACTCCCTCTCTCTATTATTTTTAATTAAGTCCTTATTTTATATCAGGTCGGATCAGGTCGGGTCAGATTTATACTCTAAAAATTCGGATCGGGTCAGAGTCGGGTGGAGGATATATTTCGGATCGGATGGAGAATATATATTTTTAGGGTCGGATCGGATTCAAATAGAGTGTATATATTTTTCGGGTCGGGTAGAGTTGACTAAAAATCCAACCCAACCGACTTGTTGTCATCCCTACCTTCGAGCCCTAAAATTATCCTAAACCCTATTTTCACTTCCTATAGATTAAAGTCCTTCCTCTCACCCAAATTGGAAAATTTATTACACTTAACTCTTTCTTTTATTTGAAGGGTTGAAATCCTATAATCAAAATAGATTTTTTCCCCCTGCCATTCACTTAGGCCACATGAGTATCGAATGGAAAATAGAAGAAGTGTGAAGAAAAAAAATTATAGAACTGCAGCTTTATTTGATATGGGTTGAGTGATTAAACATTGTTGATTGATGAACAATTATCTAACAACATGAATTAGTGGTGATTGCGTTGAAGCTTGCTGGTAGTAAAGATATTGATTTTGCCTTTGATATGAACCAATAAGCAACGAAATATACCTTTTCGAAAAAAAAATAAAACAACAAACTTTGCACATAATTATAATATTCCACAACTATCATACTACACATTTTATTAAATGAGTTTTCTATCTACATATTTAAGGAGATGAAGACAACAAACATTTCATAAAACCATAATATTCCAGCACTATCATACTACACATTAAATTAGACGAGTTCTCCATCTACATAACTACAGAGATTGAACAATAAACATTAAATAAAAGCATAAACATACTACTTACATAGATGTTTTAATCCTCGTAATCAGTGAACTTGTTAGAAGTAATATTGAACTCTTCAATTCTCTGTACTTTTTCTTCTTGTCTACTATATACAAATTGAAATCATACTTTTGGGTCTCCATCATCTAGCTTTATTTCTCAATCATTTATTTTTATTGACTCAATATTCGAACTAGAAGCATCAACATTAACCCAACAAACTCTACATACCATTCCACATTAGATTAGAATGGGATATGTATGTGTCAACTATACCAGCTATGCCAACATCATGATTTAGAAGAAAATACGTGCATGATATTGAGAATTTAAAATGTAATGAAAATAATCTTCTATTTCTTTCCGGTTGAACCTTTTTTTAGATCTTGGTGATCAACTCATCTAGTTAAATGTTCTTTTCGAAAGACATGCCGAAAGATTTGGAATAATAAAAAAACAATTGCATTAAAAGTAGCCATGCAAAGAAAAAACTAAAGGTTTAGAAGTTAAAGACGCAAATTTTGGAATATATTTTATTCTTCAAGTGAGAGCGGATAGCTTGCCCTTCACACCCATTTATGGCCCCTTTTGTGAAATATAATAGTTTTATATTTTTAATTTCTAAAACTAGTACATTAATATTATTTTGACTAATTAATATATACTTCACGGATTAACTTCAAAAGTTATTCTTAAAAAATTAAAGATATTTTGAGCTGGACGTTAATCTGTTGATTGAGATATGATAAAATCTAATCTCATAATCTCAAACGACTATCAGTTCTCAGTCAGCATGTTAACGTTCAACTCAAAGAGTTGTTAATTTTTTAACATAATGAAAACTCAAGTGACCATTTTGTAACTCTTAATAGTCGAGGGACTCAACAAAGCAACTTCCTATAGTTGAGGGACCCATTTTGTAATTTATAATAGTTAAGGGACTTAATAAAATAATATACTACAATCGGGGGACTATTTGTGTACTGTACCCAATAATTAAAAGTCCACTTTTATTAATTGAAACGTCTAAAATGTTAACCATTTAACCCGGGAAAATAAATAAATGATCATGAATGAATAACAATCGCAATTCAAACTCAAACTCAAAACGAGTTATTGTTTAAAGTGGTATGAATGAAGCTCATTGAGACAATAATTTTAGTTAATTAACCAATACAATTGCGATAAAGATGAAACTCATCCCTAAAAAGATCTGGAAATTTGTCGCTAATAAAGTTGAAGCAGTGCTAGGAGCTGGAGCTGGGGCAGCACCGTCTAGCACGATGATCTTAAGCTTCATCCCACCGTCGCAATGGCCGTTAGTGCCGCAAATGTACCATTTGTTGCCGGCGGTTGCCAACTTAATCGTATCGTTTCTGGTGGATGAGCCCAAGCTATTGTTTGATGGAACGGTGCAGCTTTTGAAGTCATCTCCGTTCACTTTGTATACATTGTGAACTCCAGCCTTGTACTTGAAAAATACAAGAACAACAACAATGGAATTTTGTGTTTAAATTATAAGGCCACAAACACACTAATTTCCGGTTGCATCGCAATATTATAATAGTATAGGCATATCTATTGTCATAACGTTTCGAAAAGTTCAAAAAATAATTTTAAAGTTCGTTTTGATTAAATTTAAAATTTTCTTTTTAAATTGAATAGAATTTGATTTGAGGAGTCGTCACCAATCTTTATTTGAGGAGTACTTAAACTATCAATTTTGTTTAGTTTTAGTACTTAAACATTCATTTGTTTCAAAATCATACCTAATATTTATTTTTGTTTCGTTTTGGTACCTCGCCGTTAAAAACTTAGCGGAAGTATTACAACATGACACTTTTTATGGGTAAATTACATCATTCATCACTTAACTATCTTCTCACTCTTATTTTGGTCATTGAAGTTTAATTTTTTAAATTTAATTACTTAAACTTTCAAATTACTCCTAATTTAATCACTCTAACTTTCAAATTTATTTTTTATTTTAATTAAATAATAAAAAAAATGGCATTTCAAAAAATTATTAATAAAATAAATTAGAGTGATTAAAATATGAACAATTTGAAAGTTGAGTAGTTAAATTGAAAATTTTTAAACTTTAGTGACCAAAATAGGAGTGAGAAGATAGTTAAGTGATGAATGATGTAATTTACTCAAATGTTACGTGTGGTTGTTAAGTTAAGTTTTTAACGGTGGGGTACTAAAATGAAACAAGAAGTAAACGTTAGGTATAATTTTGAAAAAATGAAAGTTTAGGTACTAAAACGAAACAAAAATAATAGTTTAGATACTAAACGTGTATTTTATCCAAATATTTAATAAATTTTAATGTTTTTAAAAAATTATTAAAACAACTTCTAGATTTGCACACATTTTTTTGATGGACATATGTATGATGCAGATAAAAGTGTTATGGGCGGTAAAGATTATCGAGAGTGTCTCCAACAAAGAAGTGTTTGTCTTTAGCCCATTTGTCGTACTTAACTCCTAGTTTCCACCCATTATCACCGCCGACTATGAATTCTGTAGCCGACGAGTTCGTCGGAGACAACAAAGCAACAATTGCAAAAATAACTAATGAAAGATGAAGAGCCATTTGATTTAAGTTCTAATGTTTTTGTTTTCTTGGTATGGAAGGCTTGGCAAAAACCATAGGTGGAAGTATTTATAGTGTTGGAGCTGCTTGTTAGCTTCAATAGACAAGATTAAAGCTAAAAGCATACCCTTTTAATATTTTTTTTAAATAAATTAAACCTTGTAATCAAGGACTATTGCCGAATTAATATGAGACAAATTGCTAGTTTCTAGGATTAAATTCAATTGTTTCATCTATGGATCTTGGAGATGAATACAAAATGTTATTAGAATTAAATGATTTAAATTGTTAAATAAGGATAAATTACAAATTTAGTAATTGAACTTTACTCTCTCTCCTATTTCACTCACTGTACTTTTATTTTTTATAATTTCCTCACTGAACTTAATATATTGGATTTTTTGGGTCACTCATTTGTTTTCTCATTAACGGCGTTATAAATGGGTTGTTATATAGATGCAAAATGACATCGTTTTGGTGAAAATTTTGTGTTTTTTAAAAGGTGTTGTTTTAACGCCGTTAACTATTTAACTATGGAGTGACCATAAAAATCCAATGTATTAAGTTCAGTGAGAAAATTCAAAACTTTTAAAGTTCAGTGAATAAAATAAGAGAAAGAGTAAAATTCAATGATGAAATTTGTAATTTACCCTTATCATAATGTAAGATTTTGATGTAATTTAAAAGGGTTAAATTTATAAGGATTTTTGGATTTTATTTATTTTCGCCGTTGGGATCCAAATCCAAAGTTCATTAAAAGCTTAGTTTTGTACAAACCTTTCAATTTTTTGTTTCTATAGATTTAGCTTTGGCACTCAAAAGATCAACTTTGAAAGATATTTATTTATATCTTATTTTGTTATACGTATGGAGATGAACTCCGAAAACTAGTAGCTATTCGTTCGTATATGTTTCTGGATAGGTCGTTTCACTTATCAGAGCCTTTAAGGAGCAAATATCATTCCGGTACGGGTTTTCGAGTCAACTATAATACATAGGCAAGATATTTGACAAGTCCACATGACATTCCACAATACATAAGAAAGATTGATAACATGATCCAACCTTCTACAATCTACATCCCATCTTCGTCTTCTCCATTATGTCTATCTCTCTCTTATAGAGAAAACTCGGTAAACAATCATTCCTTTGTTGGTCGTGACCAGGGATTCAAATAGAAGATCGCAACAGCAATAGCAACTGTTATTTTGTGGTAGCACCGTTGTCCGAAACTGATATTCGAGAAAATTATGGTGGGTAGCGGAATAACGACAATAGCGGTTGGTCGTGACCGCAATTTAGCGTTTAACAGTAAATAATGTCGATAACAGGACGCTATTCCCATTATTCAACTGTAACTTAAAAAAACAGAACAAGCAAAAACTGAAATTTTTATCCAAAACCCCAAGTAATATATTCCTTGCAATCTACACTCTGCAAAAGCAAAAACAATGGCAGCAAAAACTAATTGAAAATAATGAAAAAAAATAAAAAAAAATATGCAAAACTAAAGAAATCCAAATTTCCAAACAAACATTATAAAAAAACTCTGTAAACTCAAAAAAGGAAAAAAACTGAGAGTAAGACTCACCATTCACCAAGGCAAAGATCAAACCGGGAAGGGAACAAGCTGAGAAGAAGTTGAGCAGGCCAAGAAAGAACGAGCTTTGACTTCCATTTAACAAGGTAAAAAATCCTTAGATCTAAGTTTAGAAGAATTAGGGAAAAAAATCCCTAGATCAAGAGTCAAGAAAGCATGGAAGAGGACGTAAAAAAGAAGAAAAAACAGTGAGCAATAAATATAAGAAAAAAAAACAGAAATAGTAGATAAAATAGAAAATGCAAAAAAGATAAAAGAAAGGAATAAAGAAAAGTGCAAGAAGGAAGATGGTAGGATAAAAGAGGTTGATAATTGCCCCAAATCACGTCTAAAATTTGAGAGTAAAAAATAAAATAAAAATTAACATATAAAAAACTAAAATATATATGCCATTTTATCACGTGTAAACAAAATGGAGTGGAAATTTTGAAGAAATGGTCGTTCTACTCTCACTCCATTTTCTATTTTTTAAAAATTATTTTTAACAATTTTTAGGATATATTTTTAAGGAATACTTAATTTGTCATCCTCACACCTTTAAGAATTTATAATTTAATCCTTATTTTTAATTTAATTATTTTAGTATATATTTTTAATTTAATTATTTTTTAAATGTAATTCTTTTTAATTATTTTAATTTACAATTTTTAGGATATATTTTTAATTATTGCATGAGGTATGTGTTGTTTTTCTTGCTTATAGTGTAAATATATATTATTTATATACATGTCATTTTCGCTTAGAAAACATTCTAAAAGTCATTAAAAATGACTCATTAACATTATAATTATAATTATTATGTTTTAGGATAAATTGTACGAAATTTAAAAAAATTCACGACCGCAACACCCGCAGTGACCACAATGGCATCCGTTATGTCCGCAACCGCGATAAACGCGACGCGACCACGAACGCTATTTAAATCCCTGGTCGTGACTCTCTGTTCAAATTAGGAAAGGTGAACCTTCAACGGTTGATGATGCCAAATTTATTTCCATAAAAAATTAGTGCGGTGAACGTGGAAAACCCTCACGACCGAGAGAATCAGTTGAGATATCTGTAAAAAATCCAAACAACTAAAATATTCATCATGATCGCTTCTCTTTCTCGGAAAATATACCCAAATGCGCCTGCCCTCTTTGACCACACCAAGGTAAAGAATCTAGAGAAGCATACGATGGAGAAAAGAGAAGTGAAAAGGGGGCAATATAAGTAATGCCACCTATCCTCCTAGCCAAAATCACCTCCCTTTTTGGGCCCAGTTCAACTATAACCTAATCAACAAACCAAAATATATTGAAGAAAAAGATGGCCAACCCTTCCATCAAGCACTGCTGCCTTTGTTGTTTAAAGTTTGACTACACTTTCGGTGCAGTGTTGAAAAATTGGTTGGCACCGAATTTGGTGCAGCAATTTTGGAAAATTTGGCAATGGTAAAATTGCAAATTTAGTCACTAAGCTTTAAGATATTTACAATATTAGTCCTTAAGCTTCAACTATAAATACCCTAACCCATTTAGCTTTAAAACCATCCCAAATCATTCTAGTTTTCTCCCAATACTAGAGAATTTAGAGACTTTTCTTGTGAGTTGTTTTTCTCCTTTTTATCAATAGAGAATTGTCAATGTTTTCTCCTTGGTAGATCGATAGAAGTTGTAATTCCTATTTTCTCATAGTGAAATTCTTCTACCGTTGCTCGTGGTTTTTACCCCATATTATTTAGGGGTTTTCCACGTAATTTTTGTGTCTTCTTTATCTTTATTTTTATTTTCTCAAATTATCAGTTGCGATTTTGCTCTATCCGATAGCCATCTTCCAGAACAATTGGTATCAGAGTCAGATTAGAGTGTGTAATATCTACTTATTCCCACTTGAAGATTTGATTGAAACTATCATATCTTCACACCATTCGTTCTACCTTGTACCTTCATGTTGGTTATGTCTCTGACAGGCCACAAGAGGATTGACACCAAGTAAATTTATCGGCATTGATCGTCTTCGTCATGAATCTGCTATATTATCTTTGGTATGGATCTTCTTCATATCTATCGTCCCTTCTTCCACCTTTTCCCGAATGAAATGGTACTGGACTCGTATGTGCTTTTTCCTTGAATGAAATGCTAGATTCCTTGCTAAATACAAGGCAATTTGACTGTCACAAAACAGAGAGACATACTCTTGATTATACCCAAGCTCCTCCAATAGCATCTTTAACCAAATTGCTTCTTTACTGGCTTGTGTAGCTGCTACATATTCTGCTTCTATTGTGGACGTAGCCACAACTGACTGCAATTTTAAAACCCAGCTTACAGCTCCACCAGCAACTTTGAATACATATCCTGTAGTAGATTTGCTTTTATCCAAATCCCCTGCATAGTCAGAATCGACATACCTATTGATTAGTAAGTTTGATCTCCATAACATAATGCAACATTTGAATTCCCTTTGATGTATCTCAGGATCCTCTTTACTGTATTCCAATGCTCTTTGCCTAGATTCACCATGTACTGACTAACCACTCCCACTGCTTGTGCAATGTCTGGTCTTGTGCATATCATAGCGAACATTAAACTTCCCACTGCCAATGCATACGGTACTCGAGACATCTTCATCCTCTCTTCTTCACTGCTAGGACTCATACTGAAGGATAATTTGAAGTTAATAGGAAGAGGGGTAGAAATTGGCTTACAATCTTGCATGTTGAATCGTGACAAGATCTTCTTTAAGTAATTCTTTTGTGAAAGCCAAATCTTCTTATTACTTCTGTCTCGGTGAATTTGCATCCCTAGAATCTTGTTTGCTGATCCCAAGTCCATCATTTCAAATTCCCTATCCAGTTGTGCCTTCAATTCTTCAATATGATATTTGTTGGGTCCTGCAACCAACATGTCATCCACATACAATAGCAATATAACAAAATCGTTATCACCAAACCTCTTGAAATAAGCACAAGGGTCTGCATTAAGTATGTGGTATGCAAGGCACATAATAAAGGAATCAAATCTCTTATACCAACACCTTGGCGGCTGCTTTAGATCGTACATAGATTTGTTCAACCTGCAAACCAAGTTCTTTTTTTGTTCTTCTTTAAAAACTTCAGGCTGGAGCATATAAATTTCTTCTTCAATATTTCCATAAAGAAAAGTTGTTTTAACATCTAGCTGCTCTAGATGTAAATTTAATGTAGCACACATTGCCAAGACTACTCGAACTGTTGTTAGTCGAACCACAGGAGAAAAGATTTCATTAAAATCAATACCTTCTTTTTGAGTATATCATTTGACCACCAGTCTTGCACGATACATCTCAACTTGATCGTCACCATTTCGATTGATTTTGAAGACCCATTTGTTACCAATTGGCTTCGTTCCTTGTTGACGCGATCACGCCTACCTTGACG